TACCGGTACCATCAAAATATCGGACTTGAAATATGGATACAATTGGGGATGGGAGGACCGAGCTAACATTTCTGAAGAACAAGCGTTGCCCGGCAACCAACTACGTAATAAACCGAAGTTTAGTAGATAGAAAGGAATTATGAGTTCGCGTCTCAGTACGGGGAGGAAGGGGCTTTTAATTTCTGAATTAATTCATCGCGTTCTCTAGTGCTCTCTTTCAGTCTCCACTGGCTTCTAATACTAGTGATGCGGCTGGAAAAGTGGCACTGGGATCTCCTGGAGTCTTGCCTTGCCTTTCACCTGTGGGGGGAAAAGGCCTGGCTAGGAGATTCCTGTATATATTGTAAATAGGTATGATTGTGTTTAGAAGTTTTTATTTTATTTTTTTTGTTTATTTTTTTTATTTACTTTCTTCATCAGTATTATTTATTTACTTTTAATATTTATATTTGTTTCTCTATTATTTGTATATATTGTATGAATGAGAACTTTTAGCCCTAATAATTATAGCCCTCTAGCAGTGGCTGTATTATTATTATTCAATAAATAGATTATATTAAAAAAAAAAATTCATCGCGTTATCCCTTTGTCCCTAAAAACCCCATACAGCCTAAAATTCGAAGAAGAGGTGGACAAGAAAAAATAAGAATATCAAGAGTCGATATTATCATCGATAATATAAACATTGTTGAAAACCCAGTGATTTTAGAAAATGAATATAAGTACAAATATTCATTCGCATTAAATTAATTAATGGAAATATAAATTATTTTATTCCTACTAAGTAAAATTAATTTTCCAGTTCCTGCCCATGTTTGGTATTCTCAGCTTATCTTCATAAATATCCATTCAAACCATTATGTCTTCTATTCACCCATCGATCGGATTCAGCGAAATGATAAGTTATTTGCATCCCACATACATTTCTTTGACAATTTTTGGCCTTGGTTTGAATGGGTTCTAACCAACAAATTTGGGGAAAATTGAGTTTACACTCATAAATCACTCACAACAAAGTTATCTATATTCCGAATGAATGAATTTTAGCCCAGGTCCTAATGTTGTAAGTTCATTACTTATGCGCACTATTCAACTCTATTATGCACTTAACTCCACATGCTACTCCAACAATAAAATACGAATTAAAATGCCTAGGCTACGATGCCACAAGTATTGTGAACGTTATTTCCAGATACAAAAATCCACTTCCCATGTTCTTTATCGATATCTCTAAAGCCACATTTAATGAAAAAATTTTTGATATCAAATTTTTATACTATACTAGAGTGAAAATCGAAGAGCCAAGAAAGAAAAGAATGATTCCACAGTGCACCCGTTGTCAGCAGTATGGCCACACAAAGGCTTACTGCAATCACTCCCCGAAGTGCGTGAGATGTGGCCAAGGACATGTTAGCACCGTCTGCACAAAGACAAGAGAGACCGCAGCAACATGCGCGAATTGTAGCGGATCCCATCCAGCAAATTATAGAGGTTGTGCAACTCTAAAACAACTGAGGGAAGTACGCAATCTCCGTAAAAATATACAAAGTCCCCAAAAAGCACAAACTAGCGCACCCCCAGGTATAGACGAGTTTCCTTCTCTTCTGCAAAGTCAGCATACCGCAAATTCAGGTTCTTCAAAACCCGATTCTCAATATCTAGGACCAAAACTGCGAACTTCTCCTACAGAAGTCCCAGAAAATCACCTTCACCAGCCAAAGCATCCAGAAATGAAAAAGGGCATTACTCAACCGCCACTACCGACTTACAATCACCCGGCTTCAGCTCAGCTCTTCAACTTGGTAAGTGGATTGAATAACCTCATCCAGCCTCTTTTCAGCCTTCTCCAAGAACTGTCTCACGTTGCACAAGCCTTATCCTCCAGTTATGGCTACTAATCGGCTGACAGTGGGCTCCATGTCCGTTCTTCTCTGGAACGCAAATGGTATAAACCAACACAGGACTGAACTTGACATGTACATACATGAAAAACGGACTGACATTGCTCTCATCACTGAAACACACTTGACTCCACATTCTAAATTTTACATTCCAGGCTACAAAATATATAGAACTGACCACCCTGATAAGACGGCACATGGCGGTACGGCAATACTGATTAAGCAATCACTAAAACACAACCCTTTACAATTACCCATTACACCTGACATACAATCCACAGCAATTACTCTGTATACCCAGCACCATACCATTACCTTCGCTGCAGTGTACTGCCCTCCGAGATACGTGCTAACATCTGCAATGTTTTACAATTTTTTCCAACATCTCGGTCGGTGTTTTATTGCAGGTGGTGATTATAATGCCAAACATCAGTCCTGGGGATCACGACTCTGTACTCCTAGAGGAAGAAATCTAAAGTCTGCCATCGATCAGCTTTCATTAAACACGATCTCACCTGATACACCTACTTACTGGCCAACTTCAAGACAGAAAACACCAGATTTACTTGACTTTTTCATTACTAAAGGACTCAGGACAGTGCCGTATACTGTAACTGCAAGCTCTGATCTTTGTTCTGATCATTCTCTTCTCAGTTTGGTACTATGCGATGAGCCTCGTACTGCATCAAAAAAACCAACACTTACAGATAGAATAATCGATTGGATAGCTTACAGCGACTACTTAAATTCGACGCTATCAATCCCAATGTCCCTTAAGACCGAAGAGGAACTCGAAAAAGCTGTTGATAAGTTCACAATCAGCTTACAACAGGCTGTATGGTCATCATCTGTACCAAGACCTAGCAGAAATACGTCTCTTCCAATCTATCCGCAGTACATTAGAGACCTGATCAGAGCAAAGAGAAGAGCGCGCAAAGTGTGGCAGACTGGTCGACTTCCATCTGACAAACGGACTTTCAATAGACTTAACAATGAACTTAAACGACAGATTCAGAATTTTAAAAGAACGAACTACGACAATTACCTCAAAAATCTTTCGACTGACGATGGAAGCTTATGGAGACAGACTAAGAAACTTGTAAAGCATTGTGAGGTGTCATCACCACTCCGAAACGTAGATGGTTCCTGGGCTGTGTCAGACCTTGAAAAATCTGAGCTCTTTGCCAACCATCTTTCTTCTGTTTTCATACCACATACTGACTTCTCTAATACTGATCACGAAAGACATGTACAAAACACTTTAGACATTCCTTTACAACTGTCATTACCTCCACTTTGCTTCACTCCCACTCAAGTTGCAGAACAAATCAGACAGTTACCTAAAAAGAAAGCTCCCGGTCATGACCTGATAAATGCTCAAGTGCTCCAGAAAATGCCAAGGAAAGCTCTAGTATACCTAACATCAATTTATAACGCAATACTCAGAACGACTAAATTCCCCTTACAATGGAAATACTCATTCATAAAAATGATTCACAAACCTAACAAAAACACTGACTTTCCTTCATCATACAGACCCATCAGCTTGCTCCCATTATGCTCTAAAATCTTTGAGAAACTTCTCTACAAACGACTTCTTGACATACTGACTACTGAAAACATAATACCTGAACATCAGTTTGGATTTCGTTCACACCACTCAACCATTCATCAGCTACACCGAGTGACAGACTACATTGCGACAGCACTAGAGCACAAATTATATGCAACAGGAGTATTTCTGGATGTTGCTCAAGCGTTCGATAGAGTCTGGCATCAGGGACTTCTTTTCAAACTTAAGACTATACTCCCTCCAACCTACTATCTTATTCTTCAATCTTTTCTTTCTGACAGATTTTTCTCTGTTTGCCAAGGTACAGAACTATCTACCATTAAACCAGCCCTAGCAGGGGTGCCTCAGGGGTCAGTACTCGCTCCTCTGTTGTATATTATTTACACATATGATATTCCAGATCCTCTCTATACTCTGACCGCGACTTACGCAGACGATACAACAATCTTGACAAGACATCAAAATTCAGCATACGCCTCACAGACTTTACAATATCACCTAAACAATTTCTACGACTGGTGCAAACTCTGGAAAATTCGACTCAACCTTGACAAATCACAACATATCACTTTTACCCTTCGACGTGAAACTTGCCCCCCTATTTACCTTGACAATATCCAAATTCCTCAGACAGACAAAGTTCAATATCTTGGACTGACCTTTGACAGAAGAATGACATGGGGCCAACATATCAAAAACAAAACAAAAACTTTAAACCTAAGACTACGCCTATTGTACTCACTCCTTGCAAGAAATTCGAAATTAAAACTTAGACAGAAATTGAATACATATACTTACCTACTCAAGCCTATTTGGACCTACGCTTTACAGATATATGGGACAGCCAAAAAGACTCACATACGTAAATTACAGACTTTTCAATCTAAAACTTTCAGGACTATTACCAAAGCTCCCTGGTACGTCAGTAACATTACTCTACATAAAGACTTACAGATGCCAACAGTTAACGACCACATACGAACATACTACAAACGATTCCATAATAACTTACACGGACATACAAACTCATTGATTCGAGGCATGGCCACAACTAACATGCCCGATAGCACCCGAAGGAGGCTTAAAAGAAGCTGGATGAGGGATCTCCTCCACTAACTAGAAATATTACGCTCAAGACAGGAAGGACGCCGCTGGGTACTCCTCTCCCTCACGCCTATTCCAAGACCAATCTCTTCATCTTGACATCACACTCGCTGATTGTCGGAACTTCTGACAGGTGTGAGTTGAAGAATCAAGTCAAAAAAAAAAAAAAAAAAAAAAAAAACTCCACATGAAAACAGGCAAAATGAGTACATTTAACGGTAACACTAATAAACAATTCCTAGAACTTTCCGAAAATTACAATTTTTATTATTTTTAAATTTAAATAACATAGGGACGATATCGACTGTTGATAATATCGATGTAGGTGCATCCGTAGAAAAATTTTGATATGTACTATCGATGGCCATCCCCACTTTAGCTTAGCATTGAACCCCTTAAAACATTCTTAGATACTAACCCGCATGATTTTGAAGTTGTGCGTGATGGTGTACATCTGCCCCTTTAACTTCAGTCTCCATCAGCCTTTCAAAAGTCCAAGTCAGGTTTGTTAATAATAATTGATTAAGCAGATCTTGAAAGATAATATTTCAGTTGAAAATTCATATTCTATTATACTTATACACTGCAGAACTCTCCTTAATATACAGTGGTATGAAAATATCTTCGAACAAACCAATTTGGCACTCTGATATGTAACAATTATTCCGGTAATGCCGGCCCGAATAGTTGAAGTGCTTTAGCATTTGGATTAAAATATCTCAAAAACTAAAAATCGGATCTGCATACCGTGAGTGAGGCAAGTGTTCAGCATTATATATTCTTTGTAATAAGCCATAAATCAAAATTGTATTTTGACGTGACGCCGAGATAGAGAGTCGGAAAAAGAAAAATTTATAACAAAAAAAAAACAAAAACAAATAATAACGACTAAATTATCTCAAAATTTAAATATCCTAGAAAATTCAGGAACCAATTTGCAGAAGTCAATATAGATATATTTTTTAATTAGCTTTAAAAATAAGAAATTATGTGTTTCTATTCGATTTTCTGTTACACTCGATATAATTCCTACAAATTACTGTCCTCTATTACAGAAGTTATATTTAAAAAATGGCCGAGTTTTTGTTGATATACAGCGAATAGATTTAAATCAAAAGTATTCTTCACATATTTTAGTTATCATAAACGTATTGAATAATTTTTAGAGTATGATACAAATGACGATTTCGTTAGAGCAAAATTTACCAGATAAATAAAATATGAAATTATACTAATAAATCATCAAGTAATAATCAGTTTTTATGGTTTGTTTTTATTTTTATGCTCTCTGATAAAAAAAAAAAAAAACAATTCTCACATGCAACCTTTTGCATTAAACTTAGCTTCTTTATATTTATATTATATTATATATTTAAAGCTTATTACATATATTATATATTTAAAACAGCATTATTTTCAATTAACAACAAACCAAGAGACCAATCCGTTGCAAAAATGTCCAATTTTATCTCTTCAATATTGCTACGTTTTTGTTTATATTTCACTACTTTGTTTTCAACTTCAGTCTTTATTCTTTATACCTAGCATTAAGTGCCGTTGTATACATTCTATAAAGCTGAGGGTGTCCTTAAATTATAAATTTATATTATTAAATATATTAAGGGAGAGTACTGCAACGTATCATTTCGAATCTGAATTTTTAACGGAAATACTATTTTCCAAGATCTCCTGAGCCCAAATAACCAACTAGTACTATATAAAACTATCTATTCTATCTATGGTTATTTATTAAACACAGAAATAAATTAAGTTTTTTTAGTAAAAGTTATTTTAATTCTGCCACCTATTCATATAATAATGATCACAGATAATGTGTGTAATTCGAAAGCATGATAAACACAAACCAGCCTTTCAGAAAAGAGATTCAATTAATTAATTCTGGACCAATCAATGTATTATAATTTCTAATTTTTTATTAAACGTTTCTGGGTAATTATCATCAGTAATTATCCATTGGCATTCCGAATAAGATTAAATACCCCAAAACATAGCAATTTCTTGTAAATATAGTGTGAATGTTCTCTCTGTACACTACTATAAATGTCCTAAATTGTGACAGATTGTAATAATTCTAAATAAATAATTTTGAAGAAAAAAAATTAAGCCTCTGCATTTAACAATTGTATTATTTCAGTTTCAATAAGCTGTTACTCCAGAAAGAAGAACTCGAACAAAAGCACCTCCATCTTTTGCAGATTGTTGAAAGCGAAAGGACGGCGAAACTGCAATATATTCAACAGTGTGAAGAGCTCGGCACTGAGATTAAGAAATTAAGAACTGAGGTAAGGATCGAGAGTCCTTTTCAATAATTATCGTTAATTGAGAGATTCTTATATGTTTATTTATTCTTGTTAGCTGTGTGCCTTAAAGAAGGAATGGCGTCCAACAAAACCACCTCCTCCATTGAACCCGCCACTTACCGTCCAGTATCCAGAAGATTCCTTGGAACTCAGGAAAATAAAAAAAGTTCAGAGTTTCTTCCGTGGATGGCTTTGTCGTAGACGATGGAAACAGATCGTTGAGCAATATATAAAATCTCCTCACGCAGAAAGCATGCGAAAAAGAAACAGGTAAATTTATGATTAGTTTATTTTTATTTATTTATTTAGATATATAATATCCTGCCTCGTAGACAATAATTGTAGTGATAAATGAACACATTCACACCATATATACAGAAAATACGAAATTCACAAAAGTAAAATAATAACAAAAAGAACTATGTTCAGTAAAAAAAAAAAAAAGAAACTAAAGATAAGTAAATTAAAAACATAAAACCACAGACATACATATATATAATATATACCCAAAGCCAGGCTTCTCCCTCCAACTATAGAAGGAAAAGCAGGACTCCAAGAGATCCCTGCGCTACTCTCTCACCGCGTCACTGGTACTAAAGCCATTGGAGTTTGAGCGAGAGCGCTAGTTTATTTAAATTATTAAAATAATTTATAAGTAGACTAGGTGACTCGTGCGAATACTCCGCACAAACCTAATAATCTTCCCTTCAACAACTTCCCTTCAATAATGTTTGACACACAAAAGTTTAATATATATTTTTAGTAAGCCATAAGTTATAAATATGATTTACAATTTGCCATGGTTTAACTATTGCAATTCCTTCAACATCTAATTTAAATTTTACGTTTTACCATTAGATTATCATAAATTAAGCTTCTAAACATTCCTTTAAGCATCTGCTGACGACAAAAGCATCAAATTCTCAGGGGGGAATAGTTAATCCAATCAGAATGTATGTTACATTATCATTAAAAAAAATTTGAAAGGGTATTTTTAAAATGATAAACTACAATAATAAAGATCTAGAAGTAAATGCTATTGTAATCGAAGCACATTGAAAAACATTACCAAAGTTGTTTGAAGGAAGATACATTTATACATAATATAATTAATTAAAAATATACAATGTTTTGAAATTAAAACAATAATTACTAACTTAGACATAATATACTGTACCCCGGAAAAAAGAGCAAATTCCCAATTTGATAATAATTTCCCAAATGCAACTGAATCTTTTCAGTGTAACAAATGTTCAGAAAGCTGTGTCTGTGCACCAAATTGTTAGATTTCAAATACTCATATTTATAATTTAAAACTGCATACTTTTCGATTTAATCTTAGAATTTTGCATTCTAACTTACTTAATCTTTTTAAATTAATTTATTTATGTAGTTGTATAATTCTACAAAATAGATAATAGACCTAGGTACAGATCCCTTTTTATCTAATTATTAATATTCACCTGAAACTTCGTAAATAGTTTTATCTCATCATAATCTACAAATATTTACGAAAGTTCTCGGAATTGGTACGTTTTCAAACTGGAGTTCGGCAAACTTTGTCAATTTAACCAAGAAGTAAAAAGTCGTAAATTTGTTTTCCACTTGGATCGTAAGATAATTTCAGCACAAAGTCGAGAAAAAATGTGGTCTTCAAAAGTATTGAGCTGGTTGACACAAATTGTCAAAATAACGAGGTTATATAGACCAAACGGCCCAATATTTTTTTATCGATTTTGTGATCGAATTATCTTACGATTCAAGTGGATAGGAAATGGGTTTTTACGAGTTTTTAGTACCCAATTAACTAGAAAAAGTTTGCCGATCTCCAGATCTAAAACGTCCAAATTCCAACAGTTTTGGTAAATAAAATAGTTGTAGGTTATTCTGAGATGAAGCTATTTACGAAGTTTCAGGCGTATGTTAATAATTTGATTAAAAGGAGTCTGTGCCATGGACTTTAACTTAAACGTGTGGGAATCAGTCTTGTGTTCAGGATGGTTGAAGCGGAAGAAGAATATATGGAACAGCTGGAAGTCTTGGTCAGCTGTTTCTTGAGACCGTTCAAAATGGCTGCATCCTCGAAGAAACCACCCTGCTCTCATGAAGACGTGAATTCCATTTTCCTAAACAGCGAGACAGTCCTGTTTCTTCATCAAATATTCTTGAAGGGACTCACGTCTCGGATGGAATCATGGCCAACGTTAGTGCTTGGTAAGTGTCATGTATATTCAAAATTTTACGAAATTAAACGAATTGTTAAAAATATACATATAAATTTTCTATTCATTTGTTTTACTAGTTATATTTTAAAAAATAAAAATTTTGTTAATTTTTGTTAAGCTGTTTGAGCTGTAACATAAATCCAACATGGTGGCTAGACTTAGACGACATTGATCTCATTGTTGATGGAATTTTGAATGTGATTAGAATTAACAATAATTTTGATGAGTTGTGTTTCCTACGTATCAGGCCTTTCCTAATCCTGAAGTAGTGGAAATCAAACCTGGATGCTAAAATAGATTCATCAGAAGGGGGGGGGGGGATGTAGAATATGAAATGACCAAAATAAAGTCAACATAAAGTATATATTGCTAGTTGGCCTGTGCGAATAATTCACAGAAAATTTTTATTAAGTAGTTCCTATTTATTAATATTTTTTCCTTGGTCGATTATAACACTCCATTAAACATAATAGACAAAAATAATTGTACAAATTGTTTTGCTAAAAAAATTTTTTAAACGCTGGCTGGAAAGATAATAAATGTAATGAAGACAAAATAATGCCCCAATCATGGGATTTTCTAAATTATTAAAAAAAATAAAATGACAAACAACAAAGAAATGTCTTTAAGAAATAATAAAGTTAATATATCAGCAAGGAAAAAAAGTTTAGTAGACTATTTTACTCCTAAATGCAATATCTTTAAACAGAAAGACATTATTAAGTACGCCAAAACTAATGGACTGTATCTTTGTTAATAATTGTCCGATTTTTACGATTTTTTTTGTTTTGTAGGTAATTTAATAATGTTTCTAATTATTATGGGTACAAACGAGAAATAAATGCATACTTTTTGATTTATTCGCAAATAAAGTTTCTTTTCCTTCGTAACTTTTTTTCCATAAATTTCAGGGGAATAGGATGTGAAGGAGAAGAATATCTTCAAAATGAGTGGTCAATCATTAGATTTGATGAAGAATTGACAAAAAAAACACAATTTAGAAATAATATACAGGATTATTTCGTTAATCAGATTTAGATAATATTTACGAAACTTTATTTTTTATGAGAAAAAATTTAGTAGACTATTCTATTCCTAAATGCAATATCTTTAAACAGAAAAACATTATTAAGTATACCAAAACTAATGGACTTTATATGAGAAGGAGTTAGTCGAGGGTGCGGTCAAATAAATAAATAAATTAAAATAATTTATATATTTTATTTTTTTTATTTATTTGACCGCACCCTCGACTAACTCCTTCTCATATTATATCAACGGTCAACCATCTCTACATCATAATGGACTTTATCTTTGTTAATAATTATTCGATTTTTTTTTGTTTTGTAGGTAATTCAGTAATCTTTCTAATTATCATGGGTACAATCCAGAAAAAAAATTACATACTTTTTGATTTATTGCAAATAAAGTTTCTTTTCCTTCATAACTTTTTTTCCATAAATTTCAGGGGGATAGGATTTTTCGCATGTGAAGGAGAGGAATATCTTCAAAATGAGTCTTCAATCATTGGATTTGATGAAGAATTTACGAAGTTATGGCGTACTGTCAAAAAAACACCTTTTATAAATAATATATAGGATTGAATAAAATAGTGCTATGTATTGAACATAGCAAATAATATTTTAAAATAGTTATGAGGTGCTGAAAACAAAGTTGAAATATGCTGACACCAAAAATATCTGCTGACATCAAAGACAGCTTCAAAAAATGAAGATCAGATACCTAAGGACCGAGGGTTCTGGGGAAGGCTCAGTTACTCAGAGTAACTGGTAACTAGTAACGGGTTAAGTAACTGGTTCCATTTAGGGTGTGACCAGTTAAAATAATTTTACACCCGTCGAAGTTAAGAACCAATCAAAACTATCCTTGCCCCACCCTGAATATTCGTATAAAATCTCGTGGATGAAAAAGCTCGAGTGCTTATGTATTTTCCCGGCTTTGAGGACTGAAGTGGCAGGTACCTACAGTGAGACCTATACACATGGGCAGTTTGAACCTGGGCTTTGACTGGACAAGAGATGATCCAACCAGCAAGTGAAGAAACCTACTAACTACAACATTCATAAGCCATAACTAAGTTTTATTCCAAAGTTTTGAGTTAATTAAAAGTTAAAATTATATTATATTTAATTCCGGTTTCGATTCTTAGTACTCTCCATGAAGCGTAAAATCTCAAATTTTAGAGATCATCTGCACTTAGAACCTTGTCTCACGTAGGTGAATGCATTCTCTGCATTCACTTGTCTCAACTAAAATGCATTCTGAAATGAAAAAGTTCTAACTACGAAATTTCAATATTCAAATTTATAATGGATGGTTCTTTATGGATGCGATACGTGGCCTCTTGCATTAAGGGATGAGCAGCGTCTTAAAGTTTTTGAAAATAAAGTAATGCGTAGAATATTCGGACCGAAGAAGGATGAGTTAACCGAAGAGTTCAGACGGTTACACAACGCCGAAATTCGTGAACTTAATCCGGTTAATATAATTAAGGTGATTACATTGTGGCAAATTAAATGGCCATGTAAAGTTTTTGGGCTTTGTAACGAGAGAATCCCTAAAACGTTAATATTTGCTGTCCCGACTGATAAACGTCCAAGAGATTGCCCGAGACGAAGGTGGGAATATTGCGTAACCCTGATAACGGCTTAAGTCTAATCAAGCGCGGTTGGGTTTATACGGAGGCCGGTGAAGGGAGAAGTGTAAACTGATTGGTGGTGTCGGCATCGAATCTTCGGGTATTGTTGGGGCCAGGGGTATTTAAAAATAAAAATACAAACCTTTCCTCGGTGAGTTTCCTCAAAGGTGAGACAATTCGAGCAAAATTAAATGTTGGGAAAGAAGGAAAAATAAAAGGAGTGGATATGAGACCTGCAAAACATGAAAAATGCATGCACAAACAATATCAAATAAAATTACTCAATTAATTAAAGGTATTAAGATATGTAAATAAAAAAATCCCCTTCTAAAAATATTTACAATTTATTGAATAAAAAAAGAGGTAAATATTTATACAAAGTTGAAAAACAAAATAAAGCATGTTATGAAGTTCACTGAAATTGGGGGTAGACTTCCACTACATGGATCTAAAGTCAACAAAGGCTAGTTTTAAACTGGCATTCCGGCAGTACCATCGCAATATTTTGGTGTCTTAATCCCTAAGACTGGGTATTACTGCCGGGATGGTGCATATAAATAAGCGATAAACATCGCGAAAAATACCCAAATATATAAATACTATAAAGTTAAATACATTTCTGAGACAATTGTCCCTCCGTTTTTTACCAAAAAAATAAAATAAACCTTTTATTTTATTTATAAGATCTGAGCGTATGCGGCGTTAACAAGTACAATTAAGTCATTGACAGATGTAATATCAAGTTCACAGCTTCAAAGACACGTATAAAGTTATTAGTCTGAGTTACAAAATATTCATAAAATAAAATATAACTGTGAAGCTCCATTTCTCAAAACAATAAGGTCCTTTCCAAACTAAGCCCATGAGATACACCATAATAGGTTGCATCCATCAACTTTTAGATACATTCCATCAGAATTTCATTTACAGTGTGATCAATCTGATCTTGGTCCAGTCGCCTTGTTGAAAAGTCAAAATTTGATTCCATCTGCTTTAAAATAAAAAATATCATTGTTGTATGTATGACTGAATGCATGTTAGTGAGTATAAATAAGTCTCTTTATTTTTAATTGATATGGAGAGATATTTGTCTAGTAAATTTCTTACCTAGGAGACCTGTTCGACATGCTCCTGCCCATGCTCTCGATCTACCAGGAGTACGTTCGGAACCACCACTACAGCCTCCAGGTGTTGACTGAGTGCAAGCAATCCCCTCAGTTCGCCAACCTCTTAGCGCGTCTCGAGAACAAGCCAGCGTGTCAAGGGAGATCTTTGGAAACTTTCCTAACTTACCCAATGAGCCAGGTATTTTTTTAATATATATATTTTTTTTCCTATCCTGAATTTTATTATATTTAAAGTTTTTAAAATTAAATACCTTTGCTTTGCAACTTGGGCTACTCTAAGAGACTGAGCCGTAACCATAGATACCATTGATGGTAAAATATCGAATATCGCTAGAAAAATTTCGATATTATCGATTATCGATGGTCATACCTACTTTAACTTAGCATTGAACCCCTTGAACATATCTTAGATACTAATCCGCATGAATCTATAGTTGTGCGTGATGGTGTACGTCTGCCCCTTTATCTTTATTCCCTAT